TTTAGAATGAGTGAATGTTTCACGACTGTCAGCAACGAAATCAACCCATGGGTCAGTAGTAGTAGTGGTAGGCCTTTGCTTTAAAAAATATTTTCAAAAAAATTATATTTCCAAAAATAACCAAAAAGAAGAAGAACAAAGGGAATGGAAAAGTAGGAAAAAAGAAGAAATATTTTAATAACCAAATTTGAATGATAGAGCATATATTTGTTGGCTAATTAACATTTAAGAAATTAAAATTAAATTAATACCAATGGAAATCGAAAAAGAAATAGAGAGAAAGAGAGAAAAGGGGAATTAGAGGGAGAGTGGAGTGGATAATTTTATGTGACAGCAACTTATATATATAATATTTCCCAAAGGAATAGATAATTTATATGATAGTAATATATATTATGTATATATATATATATATATATTAACTAACTCAAACAGATTATGAATTATTAATTGTAAGCTTAAAGTTAGTAATAATTAAATGTTTCTTTTTAAAGAAACAATTTGAAATGATAAATAGTATTATTTAAACATATAATTTTTCTATTTATATTTTAAAAGAATAAGTATATATTCCGTTGATAAAATTTTTGAAATTGCATAATTCAATGGGTCAATGCTTTCTTTTGTCTTACGAATTAAGAAAGATTGGAAATTTTGAAAATTCGATGAGTCATTCTCATATTGAAAGCTAAATGCCAATCCTTATGATATTGTCCCCGATGATTCACTCATTTTAATGATGAAATTTTTTCGATTAAAATGAAAATTTTGAAATTTTCGTTTATCACTATAATTAATCATTTATCACTATAATTAATAATTATTTCTGCTAATATTGTTTTGTCAAATATCACATAGCATAATCGTGATTTATTTTTGTTTAAGGAAGTTCAGTTTTTCCGTTTTATCTTCGTTTAGCGGTAATTCTTCTGATCAACAAAGATCTAAGATTGCGATGGTTGATGATTTTGATAAGCCGGATTAGCGGATCAGGCAGATCAGGTTAAAATCAATAAAAAAGGAAGAGGGAAAACTGAAAAACAAAGCTCACTTCAATTTCTTACCTTGAAATTTATCCATAATTATTGTTGGATTAAAAATGAAATGTCTCTTAGAAGTTTTATACTCAAAATATTTCGAATAAAATTTAAATGTTTTAAAAATAAATAGAAAATCTAGCGAATAAAAACGAACAAAATTTGATTGGAAAGAAATATGAACGATCAATTTTAATTTTAATTAAAATAATTAAACCTTTTATGACAATATGAATCATTGCGGTACATATTGGAAATGAATGGAATTGAAAAAGTTTTTATTTCTATACCATTTGAAATTTAAACAAAAATGAAATTCTAAAAGAAAAGTTTATAATTTTGAAAAACAAAATTGTCTGAAAAACTTTTCAATATTTCAATGAATTTACAAATCTGAAAGAAAGAAAGAAACACTTATAATAAAAGAATTGAATTAATCATTTAAACTTAAGTAAGCGAAAGATTTCATTTGAATAATTTCAATGAATTTAATCGAAGCATTTGTTTAGGCAATGAAATGATCGCAGCAAACTTTCTTACACAAATGTGTGAATTCAATTGAGCGTAATAAAATGGCATCTGTCAACAATACAAATGAATGACATTGAAAATGTAAATTTCATTTTTTTTTTTAAATTTCAGTTAATATTTCTCAAAATTTAAATGTATTTTAAAGTTAAACATTTTTTAAATGCTAAGTTTACCGTAATTGATATTGAAATAGATGAAAATATTTCACAGATTTGTAAATAAATCATCGCTTTTTATGTTTTAAAATGATGACTCATAATGAAAAAACAAAAGTTTAAAAAGAAGAAAAAATGTTTTTTCTTTTGTTTTTGTTTATTATAGCATTATATCATGAAGCCATAAAGCCGTAAATTTGAAAGGGAAGAGAGAGAGAGAGAGAGAGAAAGAGAGAGGGAGAGAGGGAATGAATGAAAAATATTTAAAATAAGGTGGAATGAAAGGAGTTGGAAGAGAAAGAAAAGGAGAAAATAGTATGTGAAATATTTCAAATATAGTTATTATAACAGGAATTTTTTATTCTTTTTTTCTCTGTAAACTTTATTTCATTGAAAAAAAGAATGGACAATATTTCCATAATCATTAATTGATATAATCAGGAAAAAGAATCGAAAAGGAATTATATTAACTAATTAACTAAAAGATTAAATTTATCAATTTGGCATTCATCCAATTTTGTGGAATTAAAAATTCTCAAATGATTAACTGTTAAATGATCCGAAAGAATTTACTTCCAAATATGATACTACTAATAAAATTTCATCTAAATAAGCTTAAATAGTAAGATTATAAGATTATAAGATCTTAAAAATTCATCCAACTTCAATAAAAATGGAAGTAAAATTACAAAATAACCGGTTATCCGAATTTCGTACCATATGAATTTCGAAAATATCTCTGGGGTTAATGGACGAGAAGAGAAGGCGTATCAAATATTTTATTAATTGCCGCTTTCGGTTGTTGCATTTTGGGGGAAATTATTCCGGTCTAATAAATTATATGTATACAATTTTACAATTTAATTCATTCTATCTTTCATTATATTAAATTGTATCAAAAATTTCAATCTTCTAAAATTAATAATCTAATCTAATCGAATCTTCTGATAAGCTTAGATCAAGTTTTTTATAAATCCATCCATTCTCTATCCAATCTCACACTTTTATGATATACAGGATAATTCGAATTCAGGATAATTCAAAATTTTCGGAAAATTTAATGAATTCCAATATGATAAGGATCTAAGGGTAAGAAAGTTCAAAATGATCAGAGCTTCTTTTGGCAGAAAATAAAAGTTCCGAAAAATAAATTTAAATGTTTCGCGAAAGAAATACTGGAACAAAATATTGAATTGTTAGTTAGCATTTTATCAGTGCGCAATGATCAGAAGAATATTTGTGAAATGAAATGAACCGAATAAAATAAATTATCGGATATTATCCATTCAATCATAACAAAACTATGCGATATATACATTTTACACTAAACTTTTAAACTGGTAAAAGAGAGAACAATGAAATTAATATTGAATTGAAATTATTTAGTTAGAAAAGAAAGAGTAAAAATGTTTGAATAAAGTTATTAGTTAAATTAAAATAATCAATGTTTGTATACAATAATATAATAAATCAAAGTATTGATTAGCTAATTTTAATTAATTGATTATATATCAAAAAGATTTAATCAAATAATAACAAACAATCGTTCTGGAAAAGCATAAACAACGGCTTATAAGGATATGATATGATAATTTAATAATTGTTAGAAAGATTTTTCGGTTTATTGGAATGTTTTTTGCTGTAAAATAAATCTCTCATATATATCAGGAATATTCGAATGGGAATAATATCATCAATAGATCAGTTACAAGATGATATCACTAGGGGAAAAAGGAAGTAATCCTGTCAATTCATACTTGTAAACCACTCCAAAAGATTCCTTCTGTTGACCTATTGTCAAATTAAACAGACAGAGATGACCCATCCCTGGCAGATGCGAAATATATTATTTACTGATATCAATTCCAATCAATAATCTTTTTCTTATTCATTTTCTTCTTTTTAAAAATTTAAATAATTTTTGCATTAGATGTCTTTCGGAACATATAGTTGTAATTGTTTGAAAATTTTGGGGAAAAATTCGGATGAAAATGACATTGATAAGAATGACAATGATAGAGAAAAGGAACGATAAAGGTGATAATGATAAGGATGAGAAAGTTAGATAAGAAAACTTTCAATAATAGTAATGTGAATAACTATTAATAATAATATAAACAGAACGATATCAAATTTTTGGCATTATTTCAAAATTTATTTTTTGAATTTTCTTCGTTTTTATAATTTCAATAAGAATAGATGGCATATTATCAATAAAAATAGATGGCGTTTTATTGAAAAGTTTGATTAGATGATATGATAACAGTGATACTAAAAATGATATCAGTTAATAAGAGCAGTAACTGAGTGGAACAATCGGTTACCCAATAGTTTACCTTTTCATCAAAAAAAAATTAGTGAAATTACAATTTTTGAAAAATTTCAAATAATGAAGAATAGATTTGGAAATTTTAAATAAAGAACAGAAATAAGTAAGCAAAATGTAAGGATATAATGATGGATAAAAGGAAGATAAATGCTTCCAGCTGCCTCATCAATGAATGACAATAACTCTTTTAAGATTCTGATTCTGAAGATGACAATGAAATGGATGAATTTTCAACGATCGAATAATCTTCAACTATTCATTCATTCTTCATTTCATTCATTCTTTTCATTTCAAATGATATCAATAAGATAATTTTACATATTTTAGGTTACTTTCTATCAATCAAAAATTGCCAAAAAAAAATTATCGCTTTTTATTTCAAAAGGAAATTATATTTATAAAAGAAAATTCAAATATTAAATAAATTATATCAATTATAATTATAATTATTATAATAAATTTATTTACTCAATTTATATTATTACTCTATCACTTCAATGTTATTATTCGTAAATTGTTTACTTTCAATTATTGAATCTTTTTTTTCTTTGTTTACTATTTGTTTTAATTTGTTGACATTTTTCATACTTTATTTATTTAACATGGTTTGTTAATTGTGGCAAAAATGATATTTATTGGTGGCAAAAGAATATCATTATTCTAAATCTCTTTGTTGAACCAAATGATTTATAATTGCCGGAATTTAATCCGGAATTTAATTACATTCTAGTGAAGGTGAAAAAAATAACATGTATGAATGGTGAACTTTCTTTCCTAAATATATTTAACTCTATCATTTGCCAAATTATTGATGCATTGATGATGTTAATATTTCAGTACAATTTATTTATTTATAACAAAATAATAGAAATAATAAACAATTTCATTACACTATTACAATTACCATTGCTAGATTCCATTACATTTCAGGTTGTACAGCTAACAAATTCAATTGCATTTCAGGATATAAGAAGCAGTACGTATTAAACGTTTCTTTACAGATATCCATGAACCAAACAAATCTTCTAACTTTTTCATTAATAAATCAATTGGTTCGTTATCGATTATTTCGGATATATCCGTTGGAGCAATTTTATCGGAAACACTAATTCGTTTACTATATGTTACCATTAAATCTAACAATGCACCATTTGTCCATCCATAACCTTCCTAATTTAAGTAAAAATTGCAATTATTTAAAATTTCATAATTCAATTCAAAATATCTTCGCAACTCTTTCTTTCTCTCTTCCCTCATTATTTCTCATTTACTTTTGTCGTTTAAAATTTAAATAGCATCATAATACGTATGATGCTAGTAAAAACAATGAAAATTTAAAACGAAAAATACGCATAAAAGTGAAATGTATAATTTATAATGATTTGTTTAATTACCTCATTACCATAATTGTCATCTTTTGCTGGTCGTATGTGATCTTTGGCTACATCATATTGCTGCCATAATTTTTGATTAGTTTGATAAACTTTGTAATTTCGATTGATCCATCTGTTCGCTAACTCAAATGCTTTTTGTTGCATACTAAAATTTATCATTCAAATTGCTTATTATTAATCAAATCTATGATAGCTGTTAACAATACTATCTATGATTATTGAATTATTCCAATCTTATTGTTTATTATTAATTTAACTTCTGATAGGTGTCAGTTATACTATCTATAATTGTTGAATTATTTTATATGATAAGAATGCATCAATTTCTCTTATGAAAATAATTTGCTTTTTCTTTCTCCCTTATTTTTAGCTTCAAAACAAAAGATACTAAAGTGTGAAGTGAAATATCAATTTTGTAAATTTTATTTTGATTTTGGATAAAGACCCAAATGTGACAACGATGTATAAGTTTCAGGCCAATCTGTTGTTCGATTTTTTTTAAGAATCAAATTTCAGTTTTAGAAATGAATTATTTATTTGACTTACATCGGATGATTTGATTTCCGTAAACCTTCGATAACCATATGATTGATTGGAGCAAAACCATTAGGATAATCCCATTGTTGATTCGAACTACGAATCAAACTGTAACAGACATAAAGGTATATTATCACCAACTATCTTTTATTTTTGTTACTAATCGATAATTCAATCAATATTCATCTTATTTATTAATTAAATTATAATTCAATAAAATTAGTTAATGTACAATCATATAAAAATAATATCTTTTAATGAATTATATTGTACGAGCAATGAATAATTTTATTTCAATTTGTTATTTATTCAATAGATTAGTATTATTTGAGAATAAAATGAAATCTATAAAAAAACAATAGATAAATATTATTTGCTAAGAGAATAAATGAAATTCTATATAATCAATACTCATTCTTTATATAATCGAATGTGTAAACAATAATTAAGTAATAATTACCTTGCAGGTATACCACCCGGAAATTGTAATAATCCTTTACGTTGTAACGTTCCAAGTACATCAACCAACATTGGATTATTTAAACTACTATAACATTCGGTAAATAAGGGGACAGCTATAGATGGATATGTATCATCTACACGTTCACCGGTATTTAAATTAAAATCAAACCATGAACCTTCACGTTCATCAAAAAATACCGCTTCAAATGTATCAACAAATTTTGCCCTTTCAATGTTTATTTCTGCTCGACGACTTGAATCACCTAAATGTTAATATCAAAAAGGTAAAGTAATTTGAAATTTTTATGATAAGAAATTAAAATTCAAAAAAGCGACTCATTTCTTCGTATTTTGAAATTCCATCTATCTATCAGTCAATTTCTGCGTAATAAGAAAATATAACTTATAAAATTATTCCAAATAGTTTATCCCATACTTCAAATAAAATATATTAAAAAGAATTTTGAATGTACCATAATTGATTAAAATAATTAATTATGAATGGATCATAATTAATTGATTAAATTTATTCGATTACCATAATGTAAATGAATGTAGTAACAATGTATTATTAAATATGTATATATTTGGAATTACGCTTTGTTAATTTAAGCAATGTAAATAATATTAGTAAATATGATAAAGAATTTGGTAAAAATTTGAAATTATTCAACATTTTAACCGATTTCTCCGTGTAAATGTGCTAAAATTTCCATATTCCAACACATTAATGCATTTAAATCAACAGGTACAATATTTGATGTTTCAATAGTATCCATCGTTTTACTATTGCTAAGCCATCGACTACTGAAATCCCATCCGGATTCGGCAGCACTATTAATATCATTCCATATTTGTCGACGTTTTATTTCCGGTGCATTTTCAGCCACAAAAAAATCGCTACGATATGCTTCTGCACTATAAAATATAATAGAATCTTATTTCATAAATTATAAAATTATTAAGAAATAAAAGAAATGCTGAAATATTAAAAGTAAAATGATATTACATCAGTATATTATAATTTTGAACTCTTATGATGACCTTAATATGACCATAACCTGATAATCTAGAATGGTTTTTCCGGAAATTTTGCTAACCGAGGTGTATTTACAGGAGAAATATATTGGAATATTGTATAATTTTTGCCATTTTTTGAAATAATTCTTGTCCGATATTTTTTCCAAAATGCAAATTCCTAAAATAATCCTACATAATTAATTAATTTCAAATATATTTGCATGCATCATGCATATATTTGTGAATTTCATGCATGCACATGCACTTATAAAGTTCTTAACACACATAGAATCAGAACTTTTCCATGTAATGTTAAATATTTGAATGAAATTGTAAATTTCATCTTTGACCCATTAAATTATTCATCAAATTATTTATCAAAGACCTATTTGTTATTATTGAGCTTAAATGGCTTATCAGTCTTTAATTAATTAAAAATTAAAAGAAATTCTTTTATAGTATTTATAACATTTATGATAAATATTATCCTTTACGGTAACGTAGTGAATTCCACGTATCACTCAAATATTTTATTAAATTTACTAATAAAAATTTGCTATTTTAATAATTCATAAATTAAAATTTTTCTAAAATAGAAGCGATTAATTGGATAAATAATTAATTGAATCAAAGATTATCGATCAAATTTAGAATTTCAGCTATTGTCAGAAATAATTACTTGAAAAAAATTTATTATTCAATGCATATTCAAATTTTTAAACATTCGTTCATTCTCATTATTTTCGTAATTCTTAAAAGCTTTTCGGTTCATTTAAATTAAATTAAATATTATATTACTATCATCAAACATAATGATTAAATATATTATTATTAATAGAAAATTTAGATATGTTACCGTTTCCATAGGACCCATAACACTGAGCAGGAATTCATCATCCTCCGTTACGGTATGATATTCGTAAACCATTGGAATAAAAAACGGTGGTTGAGTACGTTGTAGCATATAAGTACGGCCACCATTTGGTATATAACCATATTTTTCAATCAAATATTTAAAATTTTGAAGTATGTGCTTTACAGTTTCATGCATACCTTGATAGTATAGTACCATAATATTATTGTTGAATAACTATTCTTTTTTATTATAATTCTAATTTAATATAAAATTTAATATAAATTAATGCTAAATATTATTCTGTTACTGTAGACCTATATATTATTGTATAAGAAAGTTTTTCAATTTCTATAAATAAATCAGTTTTTGTAATTAAAATTAGTTTTGGCATAAAATGAAATAAAACAATGAAACTATTAAAGGAAATTAGAAAAAAAATTTATAAGGCTATTTGAGTGAGAAACTAAATTTCTCAAATATAATTCAGCAAAATTCATTTTATCTTATCAAAAGATGAGATATACCTGAAGCAAGTAAACCCTTAATAATCCAATAAGTATCCCAATAATGAAATTCCCGATATCGACCACCTGCTATCATGAATTCATATGGCAAATATAATACCGAATAACGTTTCGGATTATCCTTTACCTGAACTATCCATAAGAGAATAATAGCTTATCAGATGAAATTTGTAGAATTGAAAAGTGAAGCAAATAGAAGTTAATTAATTAATTAATCAATACATTAATCAATATGCATTCGTTGTTTGCCTCTTTTTCAAGCAATAATTTCTTAAACACTTGTTTTACCTATTAAGTTCAATATCATAAAACATTTACCACAGTGTATTGGACTGTATGGTGAACACTGTCATCAATATCTTTTGAATAATAAAATTCTACTTTTTGGCCTTAGAAGTTAATTTCCTCCTTTAAATGTTGAACTCGGTTCAGAAAAAACAATCGCTGTAGATTATTTGTTGATAGTAACCTCAGGCTTAACGATATGACAGAGTTTTTTCCATAACGCATGGATTTCCAAAGCAAATTGACGTAGTTCCTGATCTTCGATCGCCACGAGATACTCTGGCTCATCGTCCCAATCTTCCATCGTATCTTCCGGACACCTAAAATTATTTAGTAGCAAAAAAGTTTTTTGGACCAAAAAAATCTTGGATGGAAAATTAAATCTTAGGAAATAATTATGTGTTTTATTCATCAACGGGATGGATAACCTCGTAGAGGCATTTTTAAATTATCTTTATAAGATATTATTAATTGAATTGAAATCGAAAGAAAATCAATATAAAAACAAACTCTTGGATATCACTTCCTTCCACATCAAAATATTCATTCACAAAGGAAAGCAACTCATCTCGATCACTGATGCTAATTTGGGAAGAAAATTTTTTGTTGAAAGCATTGATTATTTCTTCCGGTTCTTTCTTCATCGGTTTATCCACGAATGTTTTCGTATCTTTGAAGATATTGCTTAATGATACGGCATGTAACAGCTCACCCTGACAGTAAATCATATAATTTGGTGAATTTTTCTCATCACATGGATAAACCGGTGAAGCAATCGCGGTGCTTGTAATGATATCACGACTTGGTAGCAAATTTCGGCGTCTTAAATCAACAGTTTCTGTTGATGTTATTTCTCTAGCTTTCTTTTTACCTTTCACTGCTTTTACCATCATTTTGCTGGTAATTGAAGCATCGAAATTATGCTTTGATGAAAAGTTAAAGAGCGATAGATAATTGAAATTGTAATCTATCATAAATAGAAGTAACCATAACATCTTCCACATCATTTTTCCGCTTTTTCTTTTTCAACCAAATCTGTAATTATTAGATTTATTAAATTTGAAAAATTTCCGTAATACACCATAGTAATATATAAATCTATTTATCCTATCTTAAATGTTTTATAAGTAATGTTAATTATCTTAATGAGTAAATCAACTAATAAATAATAAGTCACTTAAGCTTGTTTGTTATCACCTTGAATTGCTATACTTCTATAACTTTTCTTTTTGTTTGATTAAACTCTAATACTTCTTTTCCTTCTCTTTTTTCTTATATTGAAAAGCATAACTTAAGCATAAAGTATGTGGAAGGAAGGAAAAGTTAATTAGTCAAGCAATTAATTATCTATGCTTTGTTAAATGTGGGAAAAAATTCTTCGAACATTTCATGGGCAAAAATAAAATCTCATTTCATCCCAAAAGCAAAACTTAGAAAAGCCTAAATAAGCAAAAACCAACAGAACACAATGAATGATATACGAAAGACTGATTGAGTTATTTAATATAAATCCATTCAAAGTTACTGCCATTATTCAAATTTCATCAAATTCTCAAAAAAAGATTTATTATTGGAAAAATTAGTCAGTCACTTATTAATAGGCTAATCTATATATTTGAATATTATCTTATTGTTTTCTAATAATTTTAATAATGATTTAAAACTTCCCTTTATTGTACAAACAATTCATTCAAATTTTTGTTCATTAATTTATAAGCGGATTTTTTAAAAATAATTTGAAGATTTGATAGATATAAGAAATTTTGGTATTACAGCTAAAATATTACTTTAAATTTTTGTAAATAAATTTGTAAATTTTTTTTTGAAAATTTAGGAGACGCAAAGATATAAATTTAGGAGACGCAAAGCAAAGATGTATGTACGTACGTGTGCTAATTATTCTTACCAAATTGACAATGCGCATTTATTTGAATTTTAAAATGCTAATTCTTTAGTTTTTTTAAAGTTAATAAATTAATATTAGGAAAAAAATAATTATTGATAAGAAATTGGTATATGACTAGCATATGATTACTATATATATATATATTAGCAGTAATATATACTTCATTATTATATTCAATTCTTATATATCTTAGTAAAAAATATTCATATATTTTTTCAAATGCAATTTTTTCCTTATTATCCATATATAAGAAAGTATTAATAATGAGAAATCATTTATTGTACAGTATTTCTAATTGTTATACGGTTGAAATGCCTAACGGGTATGTAATATGCATACTTCAGAATAACATTCATTAAAATCTTACGGTACTTATTTTTAATGAAATATAATTAGACGGATAAGAAGACATAACTATAAAATTCTTTAAATTTATACGACTATAAAAGAACAAAAGAAGAAAAAAGGCATATCGTAAATTTTAATTTTACTATATTTTTATTTTATTCAGCAATAATAAAGTTTTACAATCTGATTAGTTGAGAATGAGAGAAAAAGTTGTAATATTATTGAACTGATACGGTTGATATATGAATTAATTATTTGTTGTTTTATAATCCATTTTATTGATACTTTAAATCATACTTATTTAATAATCTTGATCATTGCATCATTAATTAATAAAAGTGTAGAAATATCAAGATTTTTTTTTAATTAACAACATTAATTAATTTCTAAAAATTATACCGTTGTCATATCAAATCCTGAAAATGGAATGTATCATGTTATCAATCATTTTATATTACTGCAGATCACATTGCTGTAGGAACTTTAGCTAATAATTAAGATGAAGACCAATAAATGTTTCTATAGGTAGTAGCAATTCTATTCATTGTACTACAACTCATTTCACAAATAAATCTTTTTACTTTTACTTTTAACGTAACTTATTTTCAATTAGATTATGAAACTATCTATAAACATTCATTTAGAAAGAAATCGTAATCATTCGCCCTCTCATTCATCCTATTTACGTAATTTTGTAGTGATTACTGAAATAGTACCATCACAATTAATTTGTGGGAGTATATTTCAGGATGGAAAAAAGAAAACTTATTCAGAATATACTTTTAACAGTATTAATGTTTGCAATTATTGTGATAATCATATATAATTATCATGGGTCAATTATGACAAAATTAACGATAATTAAAGAATATCATGCAAAAGAAGGATGGCTTGAAGCAATAAGTGAATGTGGAAAGTACGGTTTATTGTTGATGAATCTGTTGGATGAAAATAAGTTAAAAATGATACCATTGATGAAGCAACATCTTGCTGCTGTTGATTTCATACAAACAGCTTTACTGGCATGTAGAGCTCTACAAAAACGTGGAATCTTTGCCGGAACCGGTAATATAGAGATGGTAAACATTACCACTGCAAGTGATACGGTAGGTATTAGTAAAATAATGGATGCTGCCACTGCTGAAAGCACTAGCACAAATGAAGGTGACAAAGGTAGTAATGCGGAGGTGAAGATATCGGCAGAATCAAAAAGTGGAGAGTATATCGCAATTCCGAGTAATGAAGATGTGATAAGCAATGCGGTTGAAATTCCGGAATGGGCATGTGATGAAAAGCATTCGCCGAATTATATCATTTATTGCCAGGGTGAATTACTTCATGCTGTAATGATGCTTAACATTTTCAAAGATTCCAAAACCTTTGTTGATAAACCGCTAAAACGAGATCCTGTTGAAATTGCTGCAGATTTTAAAAAGAAATTTCCACGTAATATTACGGCAAATGATCGTGAAGCTATACGACAATTTATTGATGAAAATTTTGACGAAGAAGGACATGAGTTGGAAAAGTATGACAGATCATTTCGTTAATTTTAATAAGTTTCGCAGATTATTTTAGTACGGTATCTATTTCTCATATGTATTGATTAGATTTGCTTGACTTTTTTTAAATAAATCGACCTTTTTTTATTTATCTTAATTCTTCAGCTCAAATTATTCCATTACGACATTTCAGCGTTATCATTTCTATATAGCCAATCGTCAGTGCACTGTTTTCTTTATCACTACATTATATATATTAAGATTAATTTTAATTCTGTTGAAAATTTATTGAATTTCTTAATTTGTGAAGAAATGATTTTATACGTTTTGAACTTCGCACAATACCATCCTTGCACTTTCAGTTTGTTTACCTGAATAGAGTACAATCTATAATTATTATTAATTTAGAAATGTGAAAAAATATCTTTTAGAACTAATTATGTAAATAGTAAATAAAAAACAAAATTTCAATAAAATTAAAATTATTTTTTTCATAATTAATTTCAAAGATTCGGGCGAAACTTGAATTACCACGATTGTTATCAAGATTAAGAATTATTCATTATTACTCTCATAATAGATGTGACTTAGTGGATTGGGAAGAGCAACCAGAGAAGCTACTGTCAATAGCTGATCCACAATTACGCCAATTTGCATTAAATGTCAATTTAATTTGGAAAAGCTTATGTCGAACAATTAAAAAAGAAGTAATGTTAACTTTGAAAAAATTTGATTTCAATAAAAATTTCAAACTGTCATCTAAATTTATCCATACAATATCATATCAAAATATTCAAGAGAATAAAAACGAACAGTTTAAAAGATTAGAAGAGACAAATAACCAAAATCAGAACGAATTAGCTATTGAAAATTTCTAATTTCAGGTTATGAAATATCCAGAACGGCATTCATTATTATATGTACCACATGAATTTATTGTTCCCGGCGGTCGTTTTCGAGAATTTTATTACTGGGATACTTACTGGGTTATTAAAGGTCTTCTTGCTTCAGGTAAATACGAAAGCGCAGAAATATTCGCATAAAATTAAATCAGATTAGTTAGATTATCATGATTTAGGAATGCAAGAAACATCACGTCGAATGATTCTTAATTTTGAGTATTTGGTAAAAACAATTGGTTTCATACCGAATGGCGGTAGAGTGTACTATTTGCGTCGATCACAGCCACCATTTTTCATACCAATGGTTTATGAGTATTATATGGCAACGGAAGATGATGAATTTCTGCGTTCTATAATGGATACCATGGAAATGGTTAGTTTTTTAATTTTAGTAAAATCTTCGTGAAATATCTAATGTTTTATTTTAGGACATTCATTTTTGATTTATCACTTGAATGAACATGCAATTTAAGCTGAATCGCTAACATTAGCAGTTAATTTATGAAAATGGAATGGTTAATTTTTCATTAGATATATTCTCTCAAATCGAATATCCCGCGCTATATCTCGGGTATATACTAAATGATGGGGGTAAATTGCGATAAAAATTTTAAATGTTTTGAAAGAAATGAATTTTAGGAATTCAGTTTTTGGAAATCGAGCCGAATGATTAATGTTACAATTAATAAAAGAAATCATTCAGTGTTTCATTATCGTGCAGATAGCAATGTACCACGGTAATGTAAAATTCTGGCACATCTTCAAGGGAAAATTGGTGATATATTTATCACTTTCTAAAGCAATATATAAATTAGAGTTTGAAATATTAATACATTAATTACATTATTTTAGGTGCCGAAGAAAATGAAAATTTAAAATTTTTTCATATGAAATTTAGCAGGAAAAGTATTTTTCAGACCGGAATCATATCGTGAAGATTATCAAACAGCAGAACGAGTTGATCGACAAAAAAGGCGTAAACTATGGCGTGATATAGCAAGTGCTGCCGAATCCGGTTGGGATTTTAGTAGTCGATGGTTTCAAAACCGTAAAAGTATGGATACTATAGTTACATCCGATATTATTCCGGCTGATCTGAACGCTTTTATGTATTGGAATATGAAAATTCTGGCACATCTTCAAGGAGAAATTGGTGATATATTTATCATTTTCTAAAGCAATACATAAATTAGAATTTGAAATATTAATAGAATAATTATATTTACATTAGGTTCCGAAGAAAATGAAAATTTGAAACTTTTTCAAGTAAAATTCTTGATAAGGTTTGGCAAAAAATGATCGGAATTATCTTATTTCTTCAATCGTATGACAATACTTATACACTGAAAATTAAAACTTTTTAAATTTTAGAAAAGAATTTAAGAAATTTTTGAATTCAATAAAATCATTTCGCCTAGCATTTTTGCAGATGAAATGTTAGGCTACTCCAGTTCTCTTTTCCTCAAATAATTATATAATTGTTCAAATACATTGAAATAGCGTTCCGGAATTGTGTTCTTCCGGCACTAATATGTATGTATTAACCAACCATTCATCCATGCCTGAAGCTATATCAAATGTTCAACCATTTCGAAAGGGAAATGACTTTTATTGAAATTATTTTGGTTGAATATTTAAATTTCTTCAAAATAATCTTTCTTCATTCTATCATCAGGTAATCTTACTCGGCGTGATGAATTGAACCGAGAACGTTCGAATTTTGTGGATACGTTCGAAGCAGTATTTTTTGATACACGTGAAGGTGCATGGTTCGATTTGAATTTGAAAACCGGAGAGCATTACGATGACGCATATCCATCTTTAGCCGTTCCACTCTTCACCGAATGTTATCATATGCTAAATATTGGTATGATGGCTGACGTGTTGGAAACACTTCAACGAAAAGGATTATTACAATTTCCGGGTGGCATACCGGCAAGGTTAACAATGATTATAATTAAGACTGAAAAATAATCAAATGAAGCAAACAATATGAATAGTTTACATATTGAAATTAAGACTAAAATCAAATTTAAAGTGATCAATTAATAATTGTAAATAGAATCAAGGAACAATCAAGGAAAACGTTAAATTTTAGATCCTAAATTCTAACGTTAGATTTTAACAACAAACAAATTTTTTCTTCATTTTTATTTCGATCATTTAATTAATTTCAACTTAGATTAGTAATTGCTTGAACAATTAACACTTTTTCATCAGAAGTTTTCCCAATATCAGATACAACGCTTGTTTTTGATTTCATGAGTAAAATCAATGGCAATATTTTGATGACCTAAAAAATGATTTTCATAACTTATTTTATTTTAAATTTTAATCCATTATAGCTTAATGAAAGGTACCAATCAACAATGGGATTATCCAAATGGTTGGGCACCGATAAATCATATGATCATCGAAGGACTACGTAAATCAAATAATCCAACGTTTGTCTCTTACAGTATGAAAAATTTTTAGGGAAAAAAGCTAGCTATTAAGAAATAGAACTATGACAATATGATACCATTATCGCACAATATGTTATTAAAAAAAATTACAGTAAAAGTGACTATTGCCGGAAAGAATTAGCTGTAATGATAAAGAATTACCACAATTGAGATAAATGTTTCGAGAGAATATAATTTGTCTATAGGAAGAAAGAAATATGTCTGTAAGTAAATTCTGGTAGTCTAAAAATTGAAAAGAAAACAGTTGAGAGAAAAAATGATATATACTCAATATAAAAAACTGATACTATGCAAGTTAAAGTTAAGTTAATATCATTCGTATACTGAAACATATTTTAGGATGCAACAACGTGCATTTGAGATTGCCAATAAATGGATCAATCGAAATTATGCGCTATATCAGAAGGATCATAAAATGTGGGAAAAATACGACGTTGCAAAAGAGTATGTACGAGCTGCTAAAGGTGGTGAATATGAAAATCAGGTATAATGATGATGTACTTTTAGGTACTTATCTATGAAACCTTTCTAACTTCCATTTTTTGTTGTGTCATAGAACCAGTCGTTATTTTGTGCTACATTATTGTAATACAATAATTTAGTACGGCTTTGGATGGACCAATGGTGTGGTACTTGATTTACTTGTAACATTCAGTAAGAGAGCTGTGGTTAAGCCAACTGGTGGTGTAACTGATGTACATGGAACCGGACGACCTAATGTATCTGGTACCGACCGTACCCTTCTTACCCGATATTTAGAAACAGAAAAATCTTCCGACTTATTATGGCGATTTGCGAAACGAATCTTAATCCGAGCATTGACTACTTTTTTGAAATGCAAAAATCCTGGTAACAGCGGTGGCTCCATGGAAATCAAAAGTTTATGAACAAATTTCCCTTCCTGAAAATATTTGCAAATGTTGTTACAAACTGAATTTAATTATAAAATATCAAGTCAGGAACAAAATAAATGGGTGAAAACTTTTGAAATCTATTTTAACAATGAGTCCTAACTGTTGTCAAAAAATTATTCCATAAATATAGCTCAAATATTGATGATAGAATATATGGGTAAAACGAATCATCTAACTAACTAATACGGTATAAGGGGAGAAGTGTGCAGGATTTTATCAATTGCAAGAAAGAAATCTGATAAGAGGGCTCAGGGATAATCTGCGTAAAGCTTGGAAAGTATCAGTATCCGACAATTTATCGAAAATCAGAACAGGTCGGTAAAACTATATGGTAAGTTATAAATGAATATTAGCGTTTCAACATTCAGCAGGGTATTTACATTAGGTTTTCAAAAATATACAACAAAATAAATGCACAAGTTTATAAACCTTGCAAAAGTTCAGTAGCAAAATTAATATATACATATAATGTCCCGTCTTTAAAGCTAACAGCAGATATTCTGCAATCCGATCCGGATCCATTCAGTTTTATCATAAATGACTTCTACTTCTCGGCTTAGTAAAATACAAATTAGAATAGTTCAAAGAGAGTTCCAGTTTTCTGTTTGTCTTCATTATTCCTGCACAGATGAAACAAATCAAGACCAAATTACTACGAACATATTATACAAGATATACAGATAATTACAATATTTACAAGTCTAACGAAAGACGTTAATTAGGCCACGACAAGAAGTGAGATTTCGAAATTTATAGAACGATATTCAAACTAAATTAAATTTCCAGTTTAATTTTAAAATGCCTTCCAAACATGAACTCACATTATTCCAAATTAAATTCGAAAATCATGTGCTTATATAAATGTAATTTATATACATTTATTTAAATTGTTTTGAAAAAAACGGCATCCATAAAGACGTAAATAGGAAAAAAATTATATTTCGAAACATTTCCAACATAATAAGAATATAACACTTATTATATGCAATTATTTTGCAGCAATCTAATAATGAAGATGCTAGAATGTAATGGAAGTAATTAGTGTTTAATCAACCTGGCCTTAGTAGTACCAATGTAATTAGGCCTAAAATGTAGGCGAAAACTAATTTAAGATGGACGGAAAGATGTAACCAATTCGGGACCACTGTTGATACATCCAGTCCTTCAGTTGGGAGCATTAAAGCAGCCGCACACACAGCAACTGCACCAACACATACCATTGCTAAAGGTGAAGTTACATCGAAACGCGCTCGCAAAAATGGTGAAGACTGCAAAAGAAAAGAACAGTTGAATTAAAAACAAAGAGCGATTGAAAAATTAGAGAAAATAAAATCACAATAAAAAAAACACGTAACTACTCTTTTTATGTTTCGCGCTTAACTTCCCAAAACCAAAGTCAACCGATTTTCTACGTTTACCTCTCTCTATCTCTCTCTTCTAGTGAAGAAATTTAAATATTAGTTATCGCTTAAAAATGGTTTCTCAAAAAAATGTAAACAACACCATTTAATCTATCTATGAAGTGATTATTGATATTATCATCTATCTATACCAAAAGAAAAAAATTGAAAAAAGTTCGGATACTTCTTTGATCTCCAAAAGTTTTTAATACAACCATAAGACCAATAAATGAACGGAATCCACAGATAAACGAACACAGTTCCGAGTTACAATATATGCAAACACATGACTTATTATAACACTGCTGTGCTTCAATTCAAAAACATTCTGTAAAGAGCACTATTAAAAGAGATAATAAGTACTTGGGTCGAGTTCGTGTTATCACGAACGGAGGAACGATCAATACTAGTTGTTGGTAACAACTCATGATATTGCTGCTGATTGAATTTTGGCACAGTTTCCACAATGTGAACAGGAACATCGACTGATCCAGAAATCTTCAAATAACAATACTGTAAATATTTAAACAAAGAAATCAAAAGAATTAGCCAGCACATATTGAAGAAGTAATATTAATACGACCACAGATTTTAGCAATTTATCTGAAAACGAATCTGGTCACTCCATCGTAACCAACTCTAACAAGTTAATTAAATGGAATAGCCTAACGGTTTGAATTATTAACATTCTTGGAAAGTTTGCAAATGATCTATGTTCATTGTTTCGTTGCGTCACAAATAGTACATCTTGATTAAGCGAATAAAGAGGTGTGCGGAGTATATCCAGAAGGATATATGGGATAATAATTGTAAAATAACGAATATATATATATATAATGTACTACATACCACGAATCCGCATAAACTACAGCAAAATTAGAATGATAGTGATGCATTAATGGTATGATTCAACGATTATACAAAAACCAAATTACCTTTTGATTATGCAAGGAAAAGATTTCGATGCGAAATGTTTCCATACTGAGACTTGTTTGAAATTTTACGGCGACATGCCGAATAATACTAAAAAATAGAGAATATAGAAATATAGATATTTGATGCTTTTTATATTGTTTTCCTGTACTATCCCTTATACTATGTGGATATTAAACTTACAAAGTTATCTAATATTTAGCTATGATTATCTATCCAGGATATATGAAAACTTCTACATTTTACTATCTTTTTTTGATTTGTCATTCTACTATATAAGACCAGATATTGTTTAAATGGTCATTAAATCAAAAGACAACGAGAAAACTTCGGAAGCGTATAACATTTAAACATAACACTTACATGTCAATTGAACTTGATGCTCTCAATATACCATATGGTTCGATTACCGAGAAGTTGTGTGAATTTGTACATTTCACTGCAACAAATTATACAATTTTTACACCAGTAAACTACATTTGTATATATATATAAACTATATTTGTATATATAAATATATATATAAACTATATTTGGAAAAAATTTCGTCTTCTTACCTTGAAAAATTGAGCTACAAGGTTTGTATTAATCCTCATCAACGATTTCATAACAAACATTAGAATAGCTTAAAATATCAAATAAAAATCGTTCCCTTTCATGCACTTACCGATTAATATTTGCCAACTAATATATAACTTTCCGGTTGCTTAAAACTTTCGGTAACTTACTCAACCCTCCCTCTTTTAACATAACCTAAATTGATATCATATGGTAGTAACATTCCACGACATAACATAATCTTCAATTAAAAATCTTATAAAACTATGCTTCGTAAAAGTTTAGGACAAAACATTTGCAATTATTTCATTACTAGTCGCAAACACTAACAGTCGCAAACAAGTCATTAAGACCATGTGCGCAACTCTATGTCGGATAGGCAGTATCGAACCTTAGCATTGGGCATATCTTCCTTGCAAAAGGTCAAACAACTTTGACAATCACTTTAACCCATCTTTTATGTAAATGTTCCGACATTCTTTTAAGCAAAAAGAAAGATTTTTGAAAATGAAAAAAAACGAAAGAAAAAGAACCTTTAAACTTGATCGGAAAATGATATGGATTGTAAAGTGTTAATATTCGTTTATGTGTTTGCGGATCGGATGCGACAATTTCCAATTGATTGGGAAAAACAAACGCGAAAATGCTACCCTTATCATCACCCATTTTCTCGTAAGTTGGATAATAAACGATTTATCAATCCAGGATGGAACCCGTTGTTATTAAAATCATTTCCTTAAGCAATTGAATTTTCTATTGAAAACTACGATTATATTTATAACTAAATATATTTACACACGTAGGCTGAGGGAGAGAGAGAGAGAGCTATCAGTGGGAGTAATTTCAAAAACAATGAATAACATTATGGCAGTAAAATGCGTCAAGTAAGATAATATTACGTGGGTATGCCAAGCGTGGTAACGTCATGTGGATGCACTAAATACAAATACGTGAATGCATCGAGCATAGTGACATATACGCGAATGAATTCCTCACTTGCCCATTGAACCATCACCGGGGTCATTTCGATCACAAACTGAGAACACATTCTGGAAGTAATGCCTTTTTTTACCTTTACACTAACTTTTCTCATATCTTTGCTATGGAGTGGGATAACGAAGCAGAAATCCTAAAAGCACATGACCTTACTTCTTCTCTTAGTTGATCCTTCCTCTCTTCATCTCATCCATCAAAACCTATCCAAACTGATCGATTTCTAAGCTTCTTTTTCTCCTTCTCCCTCTCTCACTCTTCCTCTCTCTTTCTTTCCCTCGCAGTATCGCAGAATTTCTCTGAACAACTGCAGTGAAATCAATATGCGAAATCAAGGATTGGTTACTATGCATGGACTATCTTAATAGAAACTACCAATACACACAACCGGACTACCGCAGTGATTCACGCATGGATATTGTTATCGTTACTACCTGCTACTGTCCAATTTTTAAAACAGTCGTGGACCAATTCCTCTCTTACCAGTTATGATTCGGATTGTTCATCTTCACTAATCTCTATTTCCCGAGGTTTTTAATTTCCGACGTTATACCTCACCACACTTACAAAAGAGTTCAGTTTAAGTCCCGTCAATATGAAATCTACTTAATCATTCTTTTTTATCAGTTACTACAACAAACCGATTTGTAACTAATAATATAACAAAACTAATTCAAGAACGAGAAACAATTAGGAACCTCTTAATATCGAAAAAATTAAAACAATCCCATGATTAAAAAGATATATTCCGGAAAGAAATTATAATTCAGTATGTCCTCCTTTTTACCCAATAAATGTTTTGCTAAAAACATTAGCTTATTTAATCATTCTAATTTTCACTCAATTTCATCTAAGTCAAATGAAATTAATTCCTTAAGAAACTATTCCGAGAAATATGCATAGTGTAAATAATAAATGCATAAATAGCAATTACTAATTGAGTTGAGAATTTATTTTATTCATAAACGAAACGAATAATTCCAAGAAACAAAAAACAAAAAACAAGCGGAATTAAAGATCAATGACTGAACAAATTATTTGCCTCCTCTGCCATAAAAAAAAAATAATATTAATAAATTAATCTGCTCAAATGATCAACTGACACTTAACAAAGGACTAAATCGATACTTAACAATGATCAATAGATACTTCATCAATAATCTCAAATAAAATTTCAAAATTTCTTTTCACATTATTGAAAAAAAAAACAATCAACAATCGTAATATTGTGTAACAAACATGAATAATATATAATGACCTGGAGCACGTTTTTATTTTATGTTTTGGTCGAGAAATTATGCCCATCCACGTTGTAAAAACACGTGAATAACGTAAGGACTATGGATGACAAGTGATATTACAAATATGTATCCACCATCATTTAAGTGATAGTATACAGTTGTCGCCAATGATTAAACACAGATATCGAGCAAGTTTCAAGAAATAAAAAAAAGTAACTTCCATTTAATAATTTAGCATTTCTAAGTTATGCTTCTCATCCCTTTTCATAACGTACCATTCAAAATCCCTCTTAAATTTAAACTCTAAAAGCAGAATTTGGAATAAACTTAACTAGCATAGTATTCTAACAATATTCTTACGAAAGATGGATAAATAAATTAACCTGTTGCATTCAATCCCTTTTCATTCTATCCTATAAATTCAATCATATAGCTAGACAGATAAATAAACATTTCCTACGTTCAAATTGTCTTGCCGCAACAACGACAACAAGAAAACGACAACAACAGATGTGGCAAGTGAGATGATCCAAAGATGGACGGAAAGAAAAGAACTGTTTGCTTCGAAATTTTTGAAAACGTATACGCTGAACAGTTAAGAAAAAATATCAGCGAACTGATGATGGAAGGCAATAATACAAATACATATTAGTTCTTTTAACACAATTTATGTAAAGCTTTGCAGATTTGGAATACTTCCATCAGATGTTTACTTCTCAAGTATCAAACTCAGGATGAGATAAAGAATTGTGATTTTAGATTAACAGGAACGAAATACCTCACCATCACAAGCAAACAGGATGGCATAAAATAATAATCAGATGAACATTTATTTGAATTCTAATTTCCAGCAACAATCTGGGGTTCGCAAAAATGAACGTCAGTTTACAAATGAATATGCAAAATTATCTGAAATCAATCGCTAGCGACCACCGACAACTTCGAAACAAAAAATTTGATTCGCTTTTATATGATGACAAAAATCAATGAATAATACCATATCAGCGAAAATTTCCGGTTTAAATCTTAAAACTCCAGCCAAGTAAATCATCGTACATGCACGGCGAGTCTTCATATCTATTTAATGGCTAATACAGTTCAGCACACCAATTTGTTGGAATACTAATCTCATACTCAATAAAATACAGTAATACCACCAAAATGCGCATATAATGCATTTTCCGATATTACCTACTCTAAAGCATTAACAGAACCGAATTTATTGATACTGAAATAACAATTAACCCAAATTCAGTTCAAGAAAGGGAAAAAAGATTGAAAAGTAAGTGCACTAAGATAATGACAACAAAAACAAATCCCCATGAAATTATAAACAAAGTTTGGAAAATATCATGAACATTCTATCTTTCACACAGGACATTAATAAAAAAGATGGCGAGGTAGGGGACTGATAACAAATAACGCGTCATCAGAGAAGGATTCATAAGATAAACATGCAGAGAACCGAACAAAAATAAAATGGAAAAGAAGCAATAAAATTGGAAAGACATGGGAATTAAAAAAACGCTCCAAAACCTGTATGAGATGCATTTTTGTGGCATAATACGATGGGAGGATGTAGGTAAAAAAGGATATAAGAGAAAAATATGAAGAACGGACATATACAACTCACACCACAGAAAATTACGTCAACCCGTAATTATTGAAGCTAAAGAGAAACATAACTCTTGAAATTAAAACCTTTTGCCGCATGTTGTAACGTACAAATAGTGAATGAATCAACAAAGTGATAAATAAACGCTTCGTTGAGATTGCCAAATTTCACCGATTATATCTAATGTAATCGCATAAAACAAAAAAGAAAATGAGGGCAGTATATAACTGTTGCACAAACGATTAAATAACGTGAAGTGAACTTAGACATGATTGCAGTATTACAAACATAGGCATACAAACATATGTATGCATTAGTAAAACAATTACGGCATAAGAGAACATAAAAACATGGCGGCAAAATTGCGGTATTCAATGAAATTCTCAATAGCATAAAACAATTCGGATCAAATTGACATCGTCTTTTTCCAGCATACATGTCCTTCTGAAGTTCAACGTAACGTACGCCCTTCTGGAAGCTTAAAAGTAAACGTAACATAATATCGTTATCATTATTCATGTTGCAGCAAAACAATCAAATAAAGCACCAAATGAAACGAGTCATGATGACAAAGAGGGAAAAAATGCAAGTGTACTGTAATACATATTAATCTAGGAAAATAACTGAATTCTTATGCATATAGTGCAAGTCATAGGTAACTCAAGATGTTGGCTCATCTCGTTTAGAAAAAGATTTAAGAAGAAACCGCCTCACCTCCACAAGCATACAATGAAACAAGATGAAGGACCACCTAGAGTTGACCAATGAAGTCTTAACCTTCTGACATTACGGCAGAAATTTGGCTTTATAACAAAGACCAATTGAGGTTTGTCGTTTATTCTTTGTAAAAAAATTCTAACATTAGAAAATTTTACCACTTTCATTTTATTAATATTTCAATTTTTATCTTTCGCCTTTGTTTATCCCTTTATCCCAACTTATATTCCCGGAAATCAGTGGAAAAAACATCCAGAAACCACTTTTTGTAAAAGGCCTATAACAATTATGTTCCTTTAAGCGAAGCAAAGGAATGCATAAACATCCCATACGACGCACACACACACACACACGCACACACACACACAACGCACATCTATATATTTAGAAACATAACGAAGTAACATTACGGAGTAACATTACGTGCTGCGCAGTAACATTACGTTATATCATCCATGTTTGTGGTATGAAAAGAGAGACACAAAGTTAAGTATTCAAAAACAGAAAAACAAAAATGCTGCAAAAAAATGACACGATGTCATTTTCTTCATTAATTTCAAAACAAGTTTTCTTCAATAGGTGGCGAAACAAAAAGCAAGCAGATAAGAAAAAACGAACCTTAAGGGAAAAAGAAACGAAAAAAGTGTTACAATAAAGGAGGCAATATAATGATATTCAGCATTTGGTTCTCGTTGGATTACCACAGTTAATTGTTCCACCAATCCTGAAGATTAATAACATGGATATAATTATATCTTCACAACGAAAAAAATTCCAGATAAAAAGCGAGCATAGAAACAACAAAAATAAAAATGCGTACACAAAATAATAGCGAAATCTTTGAAAAATATATTCAGTCCTATCAGTCTAATATAACAACACACATAACTCATAAGGATTTCACGGATTTCACGATTTCATTTCTTATAAGAATTTCACGATTTCATTTCTTTCCTCGATAAATAAACCATAATGTCACCTGCTATTATGGCTAGTCAAAGAAAAACTATTCCTCATTTTCAACTCACATTTTCCGGAGAATCATAGTCAATACAATGATTGCAACGTTCTAATGCATACCTTATCAATATGATCTTTAT